AACAGATGGCTCCTTTTACTTTACTTTCCACATCAAGTGTGATTATTTCTTGGTGCCAAAAGCCACCTGCCGCTCCTCGGTCTCCAGTCTAATTTTTTATGTTGGTAAAACACAGCAGGACTTGTTATCAGTTGGATGGCATCTTAATAAAAGAAGACGTGCCAACATATTGACATCATGTTCAAGGGGAAATTTTAGCCCCTTCAAACCCTTAACCCCTTCCCTCTACCCCATTTCAAAAAGGGCGGTAGAAAAAAGTAAAAAATAGATGCAAAGACCCCACCAGATTCAAGATGTTCGATTACAATAGTTGGGCCTAGAGCCAAGATGCCGAATTGGCCTCCCTTTGTTCCCAAACCCAAGCACCTCACTCAGGGCTCTGATCTTTCATCCTGTGTAATGATAATTAGCCGTAACATATTCCAAAGTCAAATGTAAGCAGGAATACATTAACATTGAGATCAGTGTCAGGGCAATTTTCTCTGGGAAAATGACAAAGAACACACACATGCACACACACAAACACACACACGCACACACACACACAATAAAAACTGTCAAGATTCAAACATTCATAAAATCACTTTCATAACTGTGAATATTAAACTCATTGGCTTGTCTGTTACGAGTGCTTACCTAGAATGCCGAGGCCTCCTAGTGTGGGTGCAGTGACTCCCACATCCCATGCTTTACAGAGAAAACATGAGTGATAAACCATGGTAACTTGCTTTAATTTTTCCATTCTTTATTAGAACAAAGAGGGATAATACAAGAGGTGATTTGTGGTCCAAGAAGAGGTCTTCCAGGCGATTGGATGGCCTGGCTCTCAACAGCTGGTCCAGCACATTTGGGAACAGCATGTAGAAAAATGCGTCAGTGTTTTGAAGATTACCAACTGTGATGATGCATTGGTTATGACACAATCTAAAAAAAGTTACATTTCCTAGCCACAAACTATATAATTCAACGCCTTTACCATCAAGGTACACACTCTCAAATTAAAGGCCAAGGTAAGTCCAATTTCATAAAATTGAAACTTTCAAAACTGATTCTCACTCTTTAGAGATTGCAAAGAGTGGCAGCATTTTTGAATGCCTGATATTTCTTTTTAAAAGCCAAGGAGTTAAAGATGCAGCTGGCTTCCTAGGATTTACAAGGTTTACATTCCTACAATAAAAGTGCAAATACCTTAATAAAAAGTAGTCACAATTAATTTTTTTTTTAGATGAACAACTATAACTACACTATTCCACCACAGACTCTCTCAAATTAATGTAAACTTGTTAATGACTCTTTTACTGCCATCAACTATCCCGCCAAACAAACAAAAGAACCTATATGAAATTGATCTCTATTAATTGAATTTTGCAACTTGACCAGCTTTTTATTTGCATTATATTTTCCCCATATTTTGTTATAAAAATTTGAAAGCATATAAGAAAAGTTGAAAGAACTTTACCACCATCAACATTGTATGTACATCGATTTTACAATTAATATTTTACCATACTAATTTTATCATATATCTTTTCATTTCTCCATCTCTTTACCTATTCATTAATCTACCTTATTATAGTAGATTGTAAAATGAATAACCAGTAGCTCATTCGGCAATCAAAATTAAAATTATCTTGACTTTATGATAATTACTTAATAAAGTGAGGAATATGTATAGTGGTATTCATTAACTCATTCAACAAATATTTCTTGAATTTCTGCTTTGGGACAGACTCTTTTCTAAGTGCTAAAAACACAAGATTGAATAAAACAGCCAAGATACCTGTCCTCATTGAATTCATAATCAGTAGGCTTGACAGGGAGAAATACTAATTAAATGAATGGCTTTCTAAAACATGATGCATAAAGAAAGATATGTCAATATTATATTTAGTTGTAGTAATATAGGCAGAAAGGAAGGTTTATGCAGCACTATTGCCTATAATAAAGCCCATGTGTAGCAACCTCTAAAAACACATTTGTCAAATTACTGAATGCATTTTAAACTTTACAGTGTGAAAATCATTTAAACAATTGTATATTGAAAAGGTACCGTACTCTAGAAGAGTAACCTAAAGCAAATTAATTGGTTTAACAACTCTAATTTTAACAATCCTATATTAAAAGACTTTTTGAAGAAACATCAGATTTTGGGGAGACTATTCTGAATAGCACGTCCACCATTAAAGCATCTGCATTTGCATGGAATATATGTAAATGAAATAACAATTTCCTTGTAAAGTTGAATGTCTTAACAAATATGGTAGCACCAATGATTACTGCAGAGGTGCTTAAATCAGAATATAGGAAAGCTATTATAGACTAACAAGCAAAAGTTATTGTGTTTTTAATTGTTTTGAAATGAGAAAATTGTGGAGTTATTTTATGCAGCTTAGTTAAAAAAGAAAGCATTGTTACTCAGCTTTTGTTAAAGTCATCATTTAACTTTCAATTACTCTAAGAAAGTTAAATCAATCTGGTCAACTTTCCTTTTTAAACTAAACTGAGACACTTACTTATTACCTGGTTTAGTGGCTACAATTTATTAACAGTGAAACTAAAAATAAACCAGTACTTAGAACTGATAATTTTATTAATAAGTTACTGGTGTTAAATGCAAAATTCTTTAAAGTATTCCTAAATTCAAAAACTAATGGGATTGGAAACATTTGTGTATAAAAGGTATCGCAGGCGAAAAAATGTAAAGATGAAATTTTGAGTCACATCCTTTTATTGTGTGTGCATGCATATACATATATATACATATACATATATATATATATATAATTTACTACTGCCAAACTGGTAAGTATTGTCTCTAAATTTTTGCTTAGAAATTTTCTGATAGAATTTTTAAAACAAAACAAAGATATCATCAGGATAATCTATATCATCTACCACTGATTTTAATCACTATTCAAATTAAGTCTGGTTGCTAATTTATCTTTTCTGACTTCAAATTCTTTGGAAGGTTTTTATTTAAATGGAGAATATGATTAGGTTAAAATAGTAAAGAAACAATATTAATGATTTTCATGCTATATTCTATCTTGTTCTGTTGGTTTCACTAAGGATAAATGATACAATCCTTGAGCTAACTCAAAAGTTTAGTTTATGGCCTAATACAGAAAACTGCCATTTATTGACATTTTAAGTGGACTTTTACTCTGGCCGATATTAAGTAATAGAGATTAGATTCATCCACATTTATCATCTGAAACAATAACAAATGGACAAAATATAAAAAACAGTTTACATAAGTAAAAAATATATAGCAATAGTTTACAGGATACTGACTATCAGTCAATGAAGGGTAGTGAAGAGGCAAGAAACAAATGGTGTGAGTACTACCATTTTCCAGCTTATTACTTTGAGAGACTTTTGAGGCCACAGCACTGGGAGGGGAAGCCTAGTGGAAACGCTGTGGTAAGGAGAAAGAGCAGAGTATCTAGGGAGATTAGACAGCTGCAGTGGGCAGGACCTGGTGCTAGAAAGAAAAGAGTTGTATAGGAAGGGGACTCTGGGGATCTTTGGAGGGCACCCCTCAAATATTCAGTTGAGTATTGATCAGTGCATGTGTGAGAGGAAACTACTTGAGACTAGGGAAAGATGTACTTAAAAGGATTAAAGATAACAGTACCCAGTGGAAACTCAGGATTGGGAATAGGAACCATTCCCACCAGCCACGAAAAGCTCAGTTTTCATGGGCCTTAGGTAGAATACACTGCAGCATCTCATAATAGTAAAGAGGAATAATTAGCCCCAGGCTGAGTAGTGTCCTGTTCCAATGAAATCTTAAGTGCAAGATCCAAAAGAATCCATTTTTTCCCCAAGTAATTTAACTGCATCCCAAAATAAAGCTCAAGATTTATAGAAATACAAAAATATCCAACAACACAGCCAGGTAAAATTCACTGTTTGGCATCTAATAAAAAATTATCATTCAAAGAAGCAGAGAAATACAAGTCATATAAAGAGATAAATTAATCAGTCAAAATTGAATCAGAACTGACACAAATGTTACAATTACCAGAAAATAAAATTAAAAGTATTCTAACTGTAGTCCATGTGTTCAAAAAATTAAGTAAATATTTTTAAAACTCCTATTGAACTTGTTGGGAAGAAACTATCATGTGTAAGGTGAAAAATACACTGGATGAATTAGAGATTAGACATTAGAGAAGAAAAGATTATTAAACTTGAAAACATTGCACTAGAAACTATCTAAAATGAACCATAGGAAAAAAGGAGAATTATAATAATCAGTAGGGCATCAGTGATCTGTAGGACAACTCCAATATGTATGATTAGATTCCCTAAGGCAGAGAAGAGAGAGAAAATAAAATATATTTGTAAAAATAATGGACCAAAGTTGTCCAAAGTTGATGAAATCTATAAATGCAAGTAGTTTCATGAGCCCCGAGCACAGAAAATAAGAAATGACACCTAGTAATGTCATTATAAAACTAACCAAAACCATTGATAAAGAGAAAAAAAACGTAAAAACAGTGAAAGAAAATAGACATGTTTAAAAATACGGATGACAGTGATAATTCACACCTGGAACCACACAAGAGAGATGATGGAGCAACAGTTTCCAAGGCCCTGAAATTAAAAATATGAATAATAATTCTACATCCAGAGAAAACACCTCTAAATATTAAGAAGAAATACTTCTCACACACTCAAAAGTAGGAGAAATTCATTTCCAGCAAACTTGCACTACAGGAAAAGTTGAGGGAAATCTTACAAATAGAAAAAAATGTGGATCCACGTGGTAAAATGAAGAACACTGGTAATAGTAATTACGTGCGTAAATATGTGACTTTTAAAAACAACTAAAACTTCCTTGAAAGATAACTGAGTAGTTGGGGGTGGGGGTAGGGAGTGGGGTGAGAAGATACAGCACCTGCTAAAGGACAACGGTTGCCTCCAGCGGCTGCAGGTACAGCCCAGGTAGCCACTGCGCCTGCGCCTTAGCCTCCTGGGGCGCTGCGTGCCCCTCCCCCCGCACACGCCCCCAGCACCTGGAAACGACGGCGGAGCGGCTGAGCCTAGCGACTGGTTTCATGGCCGCCCCAAAGAAGGCAGTTGTGGGGCCGTTGGTGGGGGCAGTGGTCGAGGGGACTAACTCCTCCCGCTTTCTGGTTTTCAATCCAAAAACAGCGGAGCTCCTTAGTCACCAACAAGTAGAATTTACACAAGAGTATCCAAAAGAAGGATGGGTGGAACAAAACCCGAAGGAAATCATCCAGTCCGTCTACGAGTGCATAGAGAGAACGTGTGCGCAGCTTAGCGAACTGAGTGTTGATGTAGCCGACATAAAAGCCATCGGTGTCAGCAACCAGAGGGAAACCACTCTGATTTGGGACAAGTTCACCGGAGAGCCGCTCTACAATGCGGTGGCGTGGCTCGACCTCCGCACCCAGTCCACCGTGGAGACGCTCAGTAAGAAAATCCCGGGAAATAACAACTTCGTCAAGTCCAAGACAGGCCTTCCCCTTAGCACTTACTTCAGTGCCGTGAAAGTTCGCTGGCTTCTTGACAATGTGACAACAGTTCAAAAGGCTGTTGAGGAAGGGAGAGCTCTTTTCGGGACCATTGATTCGTGGCTCATCTGGAATATGACAGGAGGAGTCAATGGAGGTGTCCACTGCACCGATGTGACAAATGCAAGCAGGACGATGCTGTTCAACATTCATTCTTTGGAATGGGATAAAGAGCTCTGCGACTTTTTTGAAATTCCGATGAGCATTCTTCCAAATGTCTGCAGTTCTTCTGAGATCTATGGCAAAATGAAAGCTGGGTCCTTAGAAGATGTACCAATATCTGGGTGTTTGGGGGACCAGTCTGCTGCACTAGTGGGACAAATGTGCTTCCAGGAAGGACAAGCCAAAAACACGTATGGAACAGGTTGTTTCTTACTGTGTAATACAGGTCGTAAGTGTGTATTTTCTGATCATGGTCTTCTGACCACAGTGGCTTACAAATTAGGTAAAGACAAGCCAGTATGCTATGCGCTGGAAGGTTCTGTTGCTATAGCTGGTGCTGTTATTCGCTGGCTCAAAGACAATCTCGGAATTATAGAGACCTCAGAAGAAATTGAAAAACTTGCTATAGAAGCAGGTTCTTCTTTTGGCTGCTACTTCATCCCAGCCTTTTCGGGGTTATATGCACCTTATTGGGATCCCAGTGCAAGAGGGATCATCTGTGGTCTCACTCAGTTCACCAATAAAAGTCATATTGCTTTTGCTGCATTAGAAGCTGTTTGTTTCCAAACTCGAGAGATTTTGGATGCCATGAACCGCGACTGTGGAATTCCACTCAGGCATTTGCAGGTAGATGGAAAAATGACCAACAACAAAATTCTTATGCAACTACAAGCAGACATTCTGCACATTCCAGTAATAAAACCCATTATGCCTGAAATAACTGCTCTGGGAGCCGCCATGGCAGCAGGAGCTGCAAAAGGGGTGGACATTTGGAGTCTTGAACCTGAGGATCTGTCAGACATTGTAATGGAACGGATTGAGCCACAGATAAATGCCATGGAAAGTGAAAGTCGTTATTCTACATGGAAGAAAGCTATGCAGAAGTCAATGGGTTGGGTTACAACTCAGTCTACTGAAAATGGTGATTCTCCTGCCTTCTCTAGTCTGCCCTTGGGTTTTTTCATAGTGAGTAGCATGATAATACTAATTGGAGCAAGGTACATCTCAGGTATACCATAATAATACCAAGCATGAGCTTTTACATAATTAAAGAAGCCAGCAATTCTCTTAATGTGATGACACCATCATAGACTCTGCATTTATTTATAAAGTACTTGCTGCATGACTTTTGAGAACCCTACAAGTAGACCTGTGGCTTGAAGTAAATAAATTACTGCAAAAATCACTATAGAAACATTTGGTGTGTTTTTTCAATGTTGACAGTCAAGATGGAACCAGACGCAATGGGGGCTAACTCCGTCCATTGTCATAAAATTCTGTTCCATGCCCTCCAGAATAAAGAATATTCGGATCCTTTCTGAATATTCTTTCTGAATATGTGGAATCTTTCACCAAACATTTTCTAACACTATGGACCAGGATTTGATTCTTTGTACTATACACACTTGATTAAGAGATGCAACTAACTTGCCCAAACTGAGGGACTTGTCATTGTTTTTAATAGGCACCAAAGTCCTATTTTGTGTGTATTAGGGACATCACAATATCTTTACTGAATGTTTAATGGAAACATAAATTCTTACAAGAGAAATTTAGTATTCTTATAGGTTAGATATTTTCCTGGAAAAATATCTGCCAAATTAAAATTCTTCAGACATTTTACAAGGTCTCACTAATTGCACTGATTTGCTGTATAGATCCTACAGAAAGAAAAATATTTTTTCCTAGTTTTTCTCTTTTCATCTTTCCATTTTATGTACTTTACTTAGTATGTATAACATATATGCTTATATACATCATATATATATAGAGTAGCCTATTTATAACATAAGCACACATAGAGGGTAGTCTTAAGTGAACCACTAGATACATAAATCTTTTAGTGTAAACATTTATGTGTATTTTGGGGCAATGTGTATGTATATTACTTACCAGGACAAACTTTTTCTTAAAGAGGCAGTATTTAAAAATTAAGTTTTATGTTGTTATTTTTAAAAAGTGTATTATGATTTCAACTAAATTACTTACATTTTATCTTTTTATTTAACTGACTTAGGTGGGTGTATGCTGAAAGGAAATTGTGGAATATTATGCCCTGGCCAGTTTGGCTCAGTGGTCAAGGGCACATACCTCGGTTGCAGTTCATCCCCAGCCCTGGTTGGGTCATGCTGGAGGCAACCAGTCGATGTGTTTCTCTCACATCAATGTTTCTCTTTCCTCTCTCTGTGTCTCTCTCTCCCTCCCACTGTGTCTGAAGATAAATGGAAAAATGTCCTCAGGTGACGATTTACACTAAAAGGTTACAGGATCAATACCCAGTCAGGGCACGTACGTAGGTATGGATTCAATCCCTGGTGAGGGTGCATACAGGAGGCAATCAATCAATGATTCTCTTTCCCTCCTTTCTCTCTCTCTCTAATGTCAATAAAAACATGCCCTGGCCGGTTTGGCTCAGCAGTTACAGCATTGGCCTGTGGTCCAGAGAGACCCAGGTTCAGTTCCCGCTAAGGGCATGTACCTCGGTTGCGTTTGTCCCCAGCTCTGGTTGGGTCATGGGGGTGGCAGCCACTTGATGTGTCCCTTTCATGTCAATGTTTCTCTCTCTCCCACTCTATCTGAACAAAAAATGGAAAAATGTCCTCAGGCAAGGATTAAAAAACAAAAACAAAAAACATATCCTCAGGTAAGGATTAAAAAGAAAGAAACAGCAGGAAAATATATTTAAACCTAACTATATGAATAAGCACATTAAATTAGTGGTCTAATTACCTCAATTAAAAAGCAAGATTGTCGCCCTAGAAAGACCCCTGTTCGGTTCCCTCTAAGGGCATGTACCTCGGTTGCAGTTTGTCCCCAGCCCTGATTGGGTCGTGTGGGTGGTGACCACTTGATGTGTCCCTTTCACATCGATGTTTCTCTCTCTCTCTTTCTCTCTCTCTCTCCCTCCCTCCCACTCTATCGGAACAAAATATCAAAAAAAATGTTCTCAGGTGAGGATTAAAAAAAAGCAAGATTGTCTAATCAGATAAAAAATAAGAAATACATACTGCCTCCAAGAAACACATTTCAAATATAGAGAAAAAATAGTTAAAAAGAAAGATAAAAGATATAATATGCTAATATTAATAGAAAGTTGGAGTGGCTATGTTAATGTCAGAAAGTAAATTTCAGAGCAAAGACTATACCAGTGATAAGCAAGCTCATTTTGCACTAATAAAGGAGTTGATTCATCTAGATGATATAACAATCCAAAATATTTATGTACCTAAAACAGAGCTTCAAAATTCATAAAGCAAAATCTGATAGAACTTAAAGGAAAAGTAGATACATCTGGAATTATAGTAAGGTCTCAACATTTCTTCCTTAACATCTGATGGAACAAGTAGACTAATTTAATAAGATACAGAAGATCTGAACAATACTATTAAACAACTTAAATAACATTTATAGAACATACCACCCAACAATAGGAGAATACATATTATTTTTCAAATGCACATGAAATATTTACCAAATATTTATGATAATGGCCTCATTTAGGCCATTAACCAAGCCTCAATAAATTTAAAAGATTTCATACAAAATATACTGCCTGAGTACATTGGAATTATAAGTCAATAAAGGTTTCTGGAAACTCTCCAAACATTTGGAAAACAGATAAATTTTTAAATACTACATGAGTTAAAGAGATAAAAAGGGAAAATAGAAAGTGTTTGGAATACAATGAAAATGAAAACACAACATATGAAAATTTATGAGATATTTACTTAAGCAACACTTAGGGAGAAATTTATAGGACAAAAGTCCTATATTAGAAGAGAAAACATATTTCAAATTAAGATACTAGAAATAAAATAACAAATATAAAGTAGGTGGAAAAAAAATAAAGACGAGAGCAATAATCAATGGTATGGAACACAGAAAAGCAATAGCAAAAATCAATATAACCAAAAGTTGATTCTTTTGAAATATCAGTAAATTGATAAACTTTTAACCAGACTGATTAGAAAATAAAGAAATGGCTAAAATAATCAATCTCAGGAATGAGAATGATATCCTTATAGATTCTATGGATATTAAAATGATAATACAGGAAGATAGAAACCTTTATGTCAGTAAATTTGACAACTTAGATAAAAAGGAAAACATAAACTACCAAAACTTAAACAAATAGATCATTTGAATGAGTCTATATCTATTCAATAAATTGAATTTTTACTTTAACATCTCCCCACAAAGTAAACTCCAAGCTCTAATGGCTTCAACAATGAAGAAATTTCTATAAAAACTCTTCCAGAAAACTTAAAAGGAGGGAACAGTTTCAAACTTATTCTATGAGGCCAGTATTGCAACATTACTCTGATTCCAACACCAGAAAAAAGACATTACAAGAAAAAAACAACCGCAGATCAGTATTCTTTATAAATCTAGATGAAAAAAATCTGAACAAAATTTTAGCAAAATTAATCTAACAATATATAAAAACGATTAGAGCCTGGCTGGTATGGCTCAGTGGTTGAGCGTCGACCCATGCACCAAGAGGTTGCCAGTTCGATTCCTGGTCAGAGCACATATCCAGGTTGTGGGCTCAATCCCCAGTGGGGGGTGTACAGAAGGCAGCCAATCGATGTTCTCTGTCATCCATGTTTCTATCTCTCTCCCTCTCCCTTCCTCTCTCTCTAAAATCAATAAAGAAAAAAAAAAATTTTTTTAACAAAATGATTAGATATCATGACCAAGTGGGGGAATGTAAAGCTAGGATAATGAATCAGTATAATTAGAAAACTCAATCAATGTATTTCACCATATTAACAGACTGAGAAAGAAAACTCACATTAGATACAACTACACACTTACTAGAATGCCTAAACTTAAAAAGATAATCAATCATGTTAAAGATGAAGAACTAAATCTCTCATATGATTCTGCTGGAAATATAAAATGATGCAAACATTTTAGAAAACAGTTTAACACTGCCTTAAAAAATAAACATCTATCATATTATTCTAGGTATTTACCCAAGAGCAATAAAAACATGCCTTATAAAGATTTGTTCTTAACACTTTACTCTGTTATAGCCCAAAACTGGACACATTTCAAATGTCCACCAACAGGTGAATGGATAAACAAATCATGGTATATTCATGGTATATACAATGACAGACTACTTAGTAACTATTAATATACACTATAATATAGAATAATTTCCAAATAAGTAAGCCAAGTGAAATGAGCCAGATTATATGCATAGTGTTTGATTCCATTCATATAAAATTCTAGAAAATGCAAACTATTGTATGACAGAAAGCAGATCAATGGTTGCCTGGGAATAGTGGGGGAGGTGCGGGATGAGTAGGAGGCAGGAAGGGGTAGGAGGCATGATTATACAGGGCACAAAGAGAATTTAGGGGGTGATGAATATGTTCATTATATTAATTATGGTGATGCTTTCAAAGGTGAATATGCATGTCAAAATTAATCATATTGAATACTTTAAATATGTGCAGTTTATTTTAGGATCAATTATGCCTCAATAAAACTGTTTTTTACAAAAGAAAAAAAGTGTCTTCAAACTCTGAAGGAATATAACCAAAGTTGGCGCAAGTAGGTTAACCTTTTATTTTCTCTTTTATGCACAGTGATGTTTCCTCACCGATTCTACGTGGGGTGTTGTTGATTCCTGTCTCTAGGTCTATGAGCTCTATTGGAAGTCCCTTGTATGATGAGGCTGGAGAAATACATGATAATGTCTTATATCATTTAAAGCAAATTAATTTCCCATTTCATTTATTTGGTCAGAATTCTCAGTCTGGGAGCTGCTGCAAAGGACCTTAGGAAGAGTCACAAGCAAAGATATCATAAGAAAATCAGGCTGAAATCCTCAGATTCAGATCTCATTCTCACTCCCTCAATATTATACTCCTGTGATTATCAGCTTTCCTTTTTTCATATCTTTGCCTGTATGTTTCATTTTCATAATTTAAATTATATGATATTGGTAAATTATAGTTTTTTGCCCCAAGGATATAACGAGCTTCTGTGTATTCTATTATAAAATT